AAAATTGGACACCTTGTGCGTGTCAGACATCTGTATGGGCTGCTACATTAAGTGTGATCTAGTCAATAATGAATAACTCAAAGCTATGTTTAGATTGTGTGTGGCTGGTCTTAAAATCTCTGAACTTTTGCTTATAGATTGTGGGGGAATAATGGAGAGAAAACAGCCTCTACTCATGTCTTTTATTGTCTGGTACTTTAAAAGTTCTTCGGAAAAAAAAAACTGTCATAAAATAAAATAATTTAACCCTATCGGCTTATGTTGGAATTGTCAAATTAATTTCAAGTAAAGCGAAAACCTAAATTAATTATTTTTTATAAGTTATTTATTTGTATTTTCTTCATTTGGGATACTTTTCAAAACATTTGGTATTACAAATCAACATGTGTTTTCTTTGAGTTAAACTTATAAAACGAATAGGCCTGCGGCATTTCTTTATAAGCTCACTTTCAAAAGTTATTTTTGTGTTTATTAAAGATTTAAAAAAGAATTCTGTTTGAAATAGGAAAATACTGTCACGTAAATCTATTCAAAGTTACAGAAAGTAACAGAAATTTAGTATCTACAAGTCTTGTATTTATTGTCGTTTAAAGTATCAATGAAAAGATGGAATCCCTCGGACCTCGAGAAACACGTTTTGTGATTTAGTACAATCCATAACCCAGCTCAACATCCGCTCTAGTTGATGTTTCCCATAATTTCTCGTTCACTCGCCGGAAAATACTTTGTTGTGTCCCTTTCATGTATCGTGTATGTCGATGTCCTACTCGAGTATCGAGTACTCTGTTGACCTATTCAAGTTTCGAGTACTATATTTTCCTACTTAGTTGTTGAGTACCGTGTTGTCCTTAAGTAGCGGGTACTTTATTCTCCTTAAGTATCGAGTACATTGTTGTCCTCAAGTATCGGGTACTTTATTCTCCTTAAGTATCGAGTACGTTGTTGTCCTCAGGTATCGGGTACTTATTCTCCTTAAGTATCGAGTACATTGTTGTCCTAAGGTATCGAGTACTTTATTGTCCTCAAGTATCGAGTGCTTTTATTCCTCTCAGTTAATCTGTTGTCCTACACAAGTATCGAGTATTTTGTCGTCGTCCCCCCCCCCCCCCTCAGGCCAAACACTAAGAGTCCCCTCCCCTTTGAACACCGAGACATATTTGTCGTGTTGGTTTTTCATTAAAAACTGCGAGGCCACGAACTACATTTTTTTCATGGAAACATTGAACCAATGAACCGTGAAATGAACATTTCCATGCGCCTAAAGCGAACACTTGTTAATACCTCCTCCCCTCGTGTTTTCTTTACGGCATTGATAAAAAATATCTTCGATGAACATATGGCAGACATGATCTTAGGACTAGAAGCATAGTGATCACATCATAGGCCTGACATTATAGGCCTGACATCATAGGACTGACATCATAGAGATGACATCATATGACTGACACCAGGAATGACATCATAGAGATGACATCGTGGGACTGACATCATAGAGATAACATCATAGAGATGACATCATAGAGATGACATTATACGACTGACATCATAGAGATGCCAACGCAGGGATGGCATCATAGGATTCACTTTGTAGAGATGACACCATAAGACTGACAACATATAACACTAAAAACAACTAAATAACACTAAAAACCCAGATCCATTCCCTGACCCAACCTGCCGACCCAAATCTCCAGTCCCCAACCCAACCTGCCGACCCAAAGTTCCAGTCCCTGACCCAGCCTGCTGACCCATAGCTCCAGTCCTTGACCCAGACTGCCGACCCATAGATCCAGTCCTGACCCAGACTGCCGACCCATAGCTCCAGTCCCTGACCCAGACTGCCGACCCATAGCTCCAGTCCCTGACCCAACCTGCCGACCCATAGCTCCAGTCCCTGACCCAACCTGCTGACCCATAGCTCCAGTCCCTGACCCAACCTGCCGACCCATAGATCCAGTCCCTGACCCAGACTGCCGACCCATAGTTTCAGTCCCTGACCCAGACTGCCGACCCATAGTTTCAGTCCCTGACCCAGACTGCCGACCCATAGCTCCAGTCCCTGACCCAGACTGCCGACCCATAGTTTCAGTCCCTGACCCAGACTGCCGACCCATAGTTTCAGTCCCTGACCCAACCTCACAACCCAAAGCTCCAGTCTCTAAACGAAAGAACGTACTTTTTTGCTGGCTGATTTAATTAAGAAAAAAACATCACTTCTTATATTTTTGTCTATCCAAACACAGACATCTAATTTCACTCACAAATTAGTTTCGTACAGAAAAGCGAAGGAGAATCAGCTTTTCTTTTACCTGATAATGAGTTAAACTGATTTGCGTATACCATGTGTCCCCTCCGCAATATTTTCATTTCTCAGGTTGCGGTGAAGATGTTTAAAAGTATGTTTGCTATCACAAACACTGGGGGGGGGGGGAGAGTATGAAAGTCCCACCTTAACTGTATGAAAGTCCTACCTCTCTGAAAATCCCACCTCACTATGAAAGTCCTACATATCTGAGAGTCTCATCTCTCTTAAAGTTCCACTTCATTCCATTTAAAAGACCCCGGTTTTCGGAAATTCCCAACTTCCTAATGTCTTATCTCTCCCTATTTAAAAGAAAACCGTCTTTGTCCCATGATTTAAACCCCTCCCTACCCCCTATCTGTGGAACCCCCCCCCCCCCCCGCCAGAATGATAGACCCACCCGGGGACACGCTCCATGATTGAACTCTAAGAATTATCGACCACCCCTGAGACTCGATGTCTGAGTTGGATAAATACTTTGTGCAAACGTGGAAGAGTGCGAGAAGAATGATGATAGAGAACAGAATTGGTGGGTTGGATGGCTGGATTTTAAAAAAATAAAATAATGAAACCCAAGGTTTCCATTTTGGATACCAAGTTTTAAAATATACATTATTGATCACGTGATGAAAGGCGGGAAGAAAAATAGGGCAGAATACAATGGGACGGGAATGGGGAAAATGGAGCTTTAAATACCTGGGCTTCGATTCCGGTGACAGAGATAGGTTTGTGGTGTGGGGGGGGGGGGGGCGGAGATTATAAAAATCGAGTATTGGATAAGTCGTTAAGAATATCGATGCTCACGAGTTTTGGCTGTTTGAGAGTTGTTGTTAGAATAGGATTGAACTTTTAGTGTTAGGTTTCGTTTCAGTGTTATTCTTACTTACTGCTAAGGGTAGATTTTATTTATTTATTTTTTATATTTTTTTTTTTGGGGGGGGGGGGGGGAGAGGGAGAGGTTTTATTAATAAAGATTATGGCTAGGTCGTTAGGGTGAAGGCTGTGTTATTAGGATTTTGGCGAGGTTGTGAGGGGTTAAAGTTAAGAGGTTAAGGTTAGTCTGGGCTTAAATGGAGACTTGATTGACGTGTGTGTCTGTTTTGCGTGCATGTATGTGTGTTTGCACACGCTTAAACGAGCCAACAGAGAAGTTATCAAAATAGATGGAAACTCGCCCGTGGGGTGTGGGGGCGCCTTGAGTAGTTCGATGGCTTCTCTAGAATTTCTGGTGCGGGATGAAGTTGAATGACGTCTAGAATTTTAGGGGTATTTTATGTCTTTCCAAACACGTTACGAGAATTCCATGATATTTCCTGATAAATTCTGGGGAGTCTTAATAATTTTAAGGGTGTTTTTAAAAAAATTTATTAAAGGCGTCTTGAACAAAAGCGTGCCAAAAAATTCAGAAGCGCAATTAAATTTTCGAAGAGCATCCAAAGAATCACAGGACGTCCGGCAGATTTTAGGAAGACAAAAAAATTTCAGGACGTTCCAAAAATATTTCTGGCGTCCTGTGAATTAAATTTGTGGTATGACGTGTTTGTTTCCTTTTTCTGAACACATCGCCAACTACGTCGATGTACTCGAAGTCGGTACGGTTTGTTTTTTTCCGGATCCGATCCGATGACTCGTGTCTGCCTCGTTATACGTTGCTAGGATACAGTGATACTGTGTTCTCTTTGGTGGGGGGGGGGGGGGGCTTTTTTAAAATACATTTTATGGGTTCGTTTATTCTTACAGAATGGAACGGCGTGGTTTAATTGGAGAGTGTTCGACTGCTAACCCGAAAGTCTAACGTTCGGGTCCCTGGCTAGAGTCGCAGCACGTCCCCGAGTCCACCCAGCTCTGATGGGTACCTGACTTAGGTTAGGGAAAGTAAAAGCGGCTGGGCATAGTGCTGACCGCGCTATACCTCCCATATGCCGAGGTCACAGAAACAGATGAACTCTACTTCACCTACCCCATGGGCCATTGAGTTCGCGAGGGAACTTTGCTTACTTTATTATTACTTTTATTACAGAAATACCTAGAACTACACATGTGCATGTTATCATCGTGAAAAGCTAACACCCACCTCTCTCTCTCCCCAGCTGATGGAGCAACCCTTCCTGGACGCTGTCCGCATCATCCTCGACGACCGCTACACGGACAACATGGACACCATCTACCGGATCCTCATCAAGTTTGTACTCACCAACCTGGTCAAGTGTGCCAGGTGATCTCTGACCCCCGGGACTTCACACATCTCACCATGCCCGCCCCCCTTCAGCCAACATCAACAAGACTTTGAGGGTACACGTGTGTTGTGACCTGCGCCAACCGGCATATTCCGGCTTGACCGGAAATCTTCTTAATACCTGCAAACCTGAGTTTCTTTAAAGTGGCCAGTTCCTTTATTCAAGCTATCAAAACTTACGTTTTTCTAACATTTAAATGGCGGTTTAATTTTTTCCATAACTTTAAAGAAAATCCCTTTCTTTAAAAAACATGTGAATGTGGTCTACCATAGTTACATGGATTTGTTCCGCAACATTTGTATCAGATGTGAATTGGATATTTCCTCTGTGAGACAGGGACGACTGGTGTTAAAGTGGAACAAGTCTCCGGTGTCGACTGCCAAGCTGAACAACATTGCCTTTTTTCTCATTGGATTGCTGAGTTTTGTACTGTGTATGTGCCAACTGATTAGAAATACGCGCTTCATGGTAAAAAAAAATTGTTATAAGTTCTACATCATTAAGTGGAATGAGGAATGTTTATATGTAAACAACATGAAATTAGATATGAGTTTTCATATTGTTAAATTTTCTGTATCGCTTGTGTTAAAAGTTTTTATTGTGAAATAAGCTGTGCCAAATACAGCCGAACAATTTCTTTATGGTTTACATTAAAGAAGCACTACACGACCTCAGTGCTGTGTTTCACTTCTGTGTACGGATTAATCTGCTGTAAAACCTCTAAAATGTAACAAACCAGTGAAATTGATGCAGTTAACTTCATGATTGCATAAAGTCCAGCAAAGTTTTACTACACCAGTTCCTGTCATTAGATCAGAATTTTGCCAGATTTTTCCACCAAAATTTTGCCAGATTTTTTCCCGAAATTTCGCCAGAATTTTTTTAAAATACTGAGCCGAGATTTGGCCCCGAACATTTGGCAACAGCAAGAAAATAAGAGCACAGTGATGGGTGGCTACACTAGTAGCACAGTGATGGGTGGCTACACTAGTAGCACAGTGATGGGTGGCTACACTAGTAGCACAGTGATGGGTGGCTACACTAGTAGCACAGTGATGGGTGGCTACACTAGTAGCACAGTGATGGGTGGCTACACTAGTAGCACAGTGATGGGTGGCTACACTAGTAGCACAGTGATGGGTGGCTACACTAGTAGCACAGTGATGGGTGGCTACACTAGTAGCACAGTGATGGGTGGCTACACTAGTAGCACAGTGATGGGTGGCTACACTAGTAGCACAGTGATGGGTGGCTACACTAGTAGCACAGTGATGGGTGGCTACACTAGTAGCACAGTGATGGGTGGCACAACGAGCCACACAACTGTCGGTTGGGGGCTGGTCTCTGGCAGACTGGCACCTAAATGATGCCTCAGCTGTCAAACTTGAGTGGTTCTTATCTCGCCCATCGATTGGGAGGGCTAACAATTTTAGCTCTCTTAGCTCAATCTTTCTGATACAGTCGGAGTCACCTACAGACAGCTTAAACATACAGCTAACGATTTTAGCTCCATAAGCTCGGCATGAAAAGGAGTTAATTCTAGTTCCATAAGCTCCGCATTGCTGATACAACAAAATTCACCAACAAACTGGAGAGGGAGTTAATTTTTTTAGCTCTTTAAGCTCAAAGTTGATGACACCATGGGATCCAACCAGAACGTGTATGGATTTAAAATGTTCACTTTTCTGAACTTTGCGGACATTACCAGTGGATTACTGCCCAAGGTACCACAAAAAACAGGAAACTCATTGCTGATATTTCTTTAGCTCTATGAGCTGAGAGCTGCTGTCTGAGCAGAAACTACACATGAGAGTTAACATTTTAGCTGGATAAAAGTTAAATTTAGCTCTCAAACTTAGCGGAGCCACCCACCTTAGCTCAGCAGTTGTCAGCAGTCAAGCTCACATGATAAATACATTTAACAATTTTAGCTCTCTGAGCTCAGCTGTGCTGAAAAAACATCCAGGCCAACAACAGGATAAACTCAATCCACCCCCTCCCCTTTTCATTACCCCCCCCACTCATCCCCACCCCGACATGCCGGTGCCATGATTGTGTGCAATTAACCGTTCTGGCTATTTCAACCATTGTGATTCCTGCATTTCCAACCATGTCATTGAAACTTTATTGAACGTGAGCACTTTTTGTTCGTTGCCTCCTTTACTTGTTTTAACGGTGGAGCATTGGATCACCAGTTTGATTTAAACTCACCAGACATTGAGCTTGATATAGAGGGTCTGTATGTTGTATGATATATGTAAGGTTTATAGGTTGTGTTGTATAGATGTGTGATGGCTGTGTGTTTTCTGATATAGAAGGTCTGTATGTTGTATGATATATGTAAGGTTTGTATGTTGTGATATATAGTAGGTCTGTGTGTTGTGTGGTATATGTAAGGTCTGTATGTTGTGTGACATAGAAGGTCTGTATGTTGTGTTATGTAGATATTGTGTCATGGCTGTATGGTGTCTGGTGTAGAAGGTATGTATGTTGTGTGATATGGAAGGTAAGTGTGGTGTGTGATATGGAAGGTAAGTGTGGTGTGTGATATAGAAATTCTGTATGTTATGTGACA